CAAATTTTTGTTATTATTAACAAAGTTTTTTCGCGTATTACACGTTGGGGAAGTAGGGAAATGGGGCTTTTACTGAAAAACACATATGATGCAAAACCAGGCTGCCAAAAGCCATAGTATTTAAAATGAGATTGTGAAACTCGTTATCTTACATCTATCAAGATTATGTAGTTATATTACATTCCGATGGGCAACACATAAAAAAACACTTACTGTAGAGAACAGCCGATATATTTCGTTACGCTGCCAAAAAATAGCCATGTATACTCATCTTTCAATGTAGCGGATCGACTGAACATTAAATCTTGTGATGAGAAAAGTGAATTTTCGGTTTATCCTTCGGCTCAGTGACCGGTGGCAGTGAGCTGTACGGCCGGCTAAGTTTAAACCGTTATACAGTACATCATTACTGCTTTCCGCATTCTTTCAATTCGTTTTGAATATTCGGAATCATTCACAATAATACAATATTATAAAACTGTATAAGATAGCTGTAGAACTATAAATGCTGTACAATGAAATAAATAAAGAAAAGTAAGTTTTCAAATCGCGGTATTTGCCGATAAATCGGTAATCGCTACAGAAAAACAGAACAAATTACAGTATTAAAATCACAACAAACCGCGGAAGTGGGACAATTTTTGTATTTTTACTGTAAGACATGTAGAACATGTACGAAATCCATACAGAAGTGTGTGTGTATTCTATACTTTTGAAACAACTAAATCAGGCTTCGGAAAATTTGACCGTATTAAAGCTGCTTTTGGGAATTTAGATTTTAGGTCTTCGTTTTACATGTACCCAGACCAGTAAATATTTTTGAGTTTTGAATTTTGTGTATAAATCAACACCAACGCCTCAAAGGCGAAAAGGAGGGCAAGATTGTTAGAATTGCTATTGTAAACATGAGCAGTTTCGAGCATAAACATAACATTGAAACGAGTAATATTTACACATCTGATTGACTAAATTCAGGAAGCCATTTAAGTGTACGCGTATTTGTTACAATTCCGATCAACTCTGCCGTGCGTGCTGGCAGAGCCAGAGGCAGAGTAAATTGTAAACAAATTGTAAGCTTGTGAGAATCAAAGTTCAAAACTCAAAAATATTTACTGGGTACATGTAAAACAAAGACCTAAAATCTAAATTCTCAAAAGTAGCTTTAATACTGTCAAATTTTCCGAAGTCTGATTTAGTTGTTTAAAAAGTATAGAATACACACACACTCTTGTATGGATTTAGTACATGTTCTGCATGTCTTACAGTAAAAATACAAAAATTGTCCCACTTCCGCGGTTTGTTGTGATTTACTGTAATTTGTTCTGTTTTTCTGTAGCGGTTACCGATTTATCGGCAAATACCGCGATAAAACGTAGTTTTCTTTATTTATTTTATTCTACAGCATTTATAGTTCTACAGCTATCTTATACAGTTTTATAATATAATATTAATAGTGAATGATTCCGAATATTCAAAACGGATTGAAAGAATGAAAGCAGTAATTATGTATAACGGTTTAAACCGGCGTAGGCCGTACAGCACACTGCTCACTGGTCACTGGGACGAAAGATAAACCGAAAATTTACTTCTCTCCATGACAAGCTTTTATAATGTTCAGTCGATCCGCTACATTGAAAGATGAGTACTTGGCTATTTTTTGGCAGGGGTAACGAAATATATCGGCTGTTCTCTAAGTGTTTCTTAATGCGTTGGCCATCGGAATATAATATAACTACATAACTCATAAGCTTGATAGATATGTGACGAGTTTCACAGGCACAATCCTATTTTAAATACTATGGCTTTTGGCAGTTTTGCATCATATGTGCAGTAAAAGCCCCATTTTTCTACTTCCTCAACGTGTAAAACGCGAAAAAACTTTATTAATAAGAACAAAAATTTGTAATAAAAATTTGTAGTTAACAGTGAATTTTATTATAAAGGATTTTCGTTTTTCTACTGCTCCGTAGTTCGTGTGCTCCGTGCTCCGTGTGCTCCGTGCTCCGTGATCCGTGTGCTCCGTGCTCCGTGTGCTCCATGCTCCGTGTGCTCCGTACTCCGTGCTCCGTGCTCCGTGTGCTCCGTGCTCCCTGTTTTACTAATAGCCGCATTCGTGCAATGTTTGTTCTGGCCTCTGGGTTTCAGTATATAATTAATATTTGAGATTGCACATCTATTTTATTAAGGACGTGTAGACATCTGGTCGTCATCGGCTTTGTCCAGATCACCATGCATAGAGTATGTTCTGATCATCATTAGTTTTGTCATATTAATGGTTAACTCTAAATTACGAGTAATTATGTAGTGATTCTGGTGGACTCTGCCCATAATGATCGATTAGAAAACTATGTGCTTCCAGCAATTCATTCAATTTCATTATAATTATTTATATATTTTCTTGAATATTACCTGAGCATGCCATTTATGCAAACCAGGAACTATTTTCGTGCCTAGTCTCGATTCATTTCTTTGGAAAATAGAAGGAAACTGTAACATAAGAAAGACAAAAATTCAAATTAAATTCAATATAAGTACAAAATATATTTGGAAATTAAAAGAAAACATAACTTGGTCAATACTGAATGCGCTGTTTCTTATACGGGAGGATCAAAGATGTAATTTGTGTTTATTAATATATTACTGAAAAAAATTACAAATTTCGGTGTGTTTTTTCCAACATGAGCTCCACCTTTGAATTTACTATATGAGTAATTCTTAAACACGTCCGAATCTATCATTATGATAAATTCGCGGCACATTTTGAATTTATCAATAGAGTTAATCATAAAACCACAAGCATTACACAAGCATTACACATTACACATTACACATTACATTATAAATGTAATGGCACTAAAAGGGAGGCTGGTCGCGCAGGGGTGGGGGAGTTTTTCAGGTCCTTTAAAAAAATAGTTTTTAAAAAATTTTAAAAGAGTTTTGAAAAGCAAGAAAAGTTTAAAAAGTTAGATTTTTAAAAAAGTTAAAAAAATTTAAAAAGTTAAAAAAATTAGGGTTAAGTTAGGGGTTAGGGGTTAGGGGTTAAGGGCTAGGGGTTAGGGGTTAACGGTTAGGAGTTAGGGGTTAGTGGTTAGGGGTGAGGGGTTAGTGGTTAGGGTTGGGGTTAGGGTTAGTGTTAGGTGCCGCGAATTTATTATTATGATAAATTCAAAATTTGCCGCGAATTTATCATAATGATAAATTCGGACGTGTTTAAGAATTTACTCATATAGTAAATTCAAAGGTGGAGCTCACGCTGTTTTTTTCTGTGTTGGTGTTCTGTGTTGGTGTTTTGTGCTGGTGTTTCTGTACTCAGGTGAATATAATGCTTGTGATGTTACTAAGGTCGTAGGTTCGATTCCTACAAAGGTCGTAGGTTCGATTCCCACCGTGGCCAGGCATATTTTTCAAGCTTGTCCGATGTGGATACACACTCACAGTAACATCACAAACATCAAATTACGGTATGTTATTTCGAAAGTTGTGAAAAATGCTATGTCCGGAAACTTTTTTGGGAACAATTTTTGGAAAAGACCTCGCAAGCCAGGGTATTCTACCTACTCTGGCTTGCGAGGTTGAGGTCTCATGAACATTGACTCACGTGGACAGGTTCAAGGGTTGAAAAAATGAGTCATTTCAAGCTACACACGTAAAAACGCACAAGTTGTAACAAGTCTGCAAACAAGTTGTTACACGTCTGTTCACAAGCTGTCAACAAGTTGTGCTCGCACTGCTTGTTCCCAGTTTGTTGTAACAAGTTTGAAACAAGCTGTTAACAACTTGTAACAAGCTTGATGGCATTATTAGCCTTGTTACAAGATTGTGCTAACAAGTTTGTTACAGCCATGATATAACAAAGATGTTACAAGGTTGTCAACACAAGGTTGTAACAATCTTGTTATATCAAGCATGTCACAGACTTGTCAGAACAACCTTGCAACAAGTCTGATAATTTCGACAAGGTTGTTACAAGTTGTCAACAAGTTGTTCCAAACCTGTTGACAACTTGTGACAAGCAGTGCGAAGACAACACGTTTTTACGTGTGTAGATAACACTTATAATTATCGTATAATTATAATACTAGTCACCGGAATTTTGTTTTGGCATTCTCTGAGTACTATTTAAAACACGAATATAGGAGTGTTTTTATCAGATATAAAACACGAGGCGCAGCCGAGCGTTTTATGTCAGATAAAACACAACAACGAGTACAAAATACAAATATACGACTACGAAAGAATACTAATTAGGATGAACAATTATATAAGAATAACAATTAGGATGAACAATGATATAATGCCACATGCATAATATAATGCCACATGCATGTATGCCTGTGTTTTATCAGATATAAGTCACTCCACGTGACATATTATGGCTGATCATGATTTGCCACAAGGTTTAGGAATTATTAATGAGTGTTTTAAGTATATTTAGCATACGTCGCAAAGATAAATTAATATACGTATAAAGCTAGTAAATTTCCTAATGAACCATGTAGAATTATTTAAAAGAATAACAAACTGAGTTAGATTGTTTTAAGCATAAAAGCCGACTTACGAGATTGGACTACGCCTTGCGTAAACACAGTTGTAGAACTGGGACCAGCGCTTAACTGTACACCAACTCAACGCTGATTGGCCATAATGGAATCAGCCCACCTTTCTCGGTTACGTGTACAAGTTCCCACAAACCGTTAATTGGTATAAAACGAGGTGCCTGACTCAACTCTTGTAGTCACTGGATGCAGAAATTGCCTAGCACAAAAGCGAAAGCAACACTTGTTCTCATGGCGACATTTGGAGACAAGCTACCTCATCGCGTTTGACATTGTTTAGGACCTTCTCGTTTCGCCCTTGCACGATAATGAGCTTTTCGGAAAGGCATAAGTTAGTCTCATCGTTATTTATATAAAATAGAAGAGCTACCATGATATTATGATAATTTAATTAATGTGTCATTTGCATTGTATCATTTAGTGTGCTCTGTGTCGTTTTGCTAAATGAAATACCAAGCTCAGAAATCATACCTTTTTGGTATGTTTGTGTTCAATCTTGTAACAGCAATTGTTCAAAACAATGATGGTTGTTCATCTACGACAGGTAACTTCGTTTATAAGTTAACTGCTATATAATAATTATTAATAAAAAATCTTGCAGAAACGGGCATTCATGCAATGTTTGTTCTGGGTTTCAGTATATAATTAATATTTGAGATTGCACATCTATTTTATTAGGGACGTGTAGACATCTGGTCGTCATCGGCTTTGTCCAGATCACCATGCATAGAGTATATTCTGATCATCATTAGTTTTGTCATATTAATGGTTAACTCTTAAATTACGAGTAATTATGTAGTGATTCTGGTGGACTCTGCCCATTCTGATCGATTAGAAAACTATGTACTTCCAGCAATTCATTCAATTTCATTATAATTATATTTATATATTTTCTTGAATATTACCTGAGCATGCCATTTATGCAAACAAGGAACTATTTTCGTGCCTAGTCTCGATTCATTTCTTTGGTGAAAATAGAAGGAAACTGTAACATAAGACAAAAATTCAAATTAAATTCAATATAAGTACATAATCCAGTAAGTCTGAAAATAATTTATGTACTATTTAAAACACGACTAGGATTGTCTGCACGACAACGAGTGTTTTGAATAGCTTAAAATACGACTACAAAAGAATACTAATTAGGATGAAATAAGAATACTAATTAGGATTAACAATTATATAATGCCACATGCATGCATGTGTTTTCGTTTTATCAGATATAAAGTTATTCCACGTGACATATTATGGCTGATATGATTTGCAACAAGGTTTATGAATTATTAATGAGTATTTTAAACTCATATAGTAGGCCTATACGCGGAATGGTACATGAACTATTGTTATCAAAGCTTCGGATTAATGGACACGGATGCAACTTCCTGAAAAATTATGCAACTAAAATCAGCCGGGTAACGTATACTGCATGACGATGCTTTATTTCAACTATTTTTAGATAAAAAGACATGGATCAAACGAGAAAGTTTCTCCTGGTCTATGCCGGAAAATTTAATTGTTGGGGAATGGTGGACATTTGACTGTAGACTGAACAGTAACAAGGTCAGTGCGACATTGTGGCAAAAAACCAATACAAATTCGTCTCAACGAATTCCTGATGGAAAATACATTAAAGTTTCGGATAAGAATATGTTCCTTATATCTGGTTTAAAAAAGAGCGATGGAGGTCGTTATTATTGCAACGCTTGTGGTTTGGAAAAATTCGTTGGTAAAATCCATATGACAGGTATGTTTATATAATGAAATTGTGTACAAATAAAGAATTTTATGAGTGCAATGGCAAAAATATTTTCATGAGATGAAAGATGGAATTTCACGAGGCGACAGCCGCTCGAGTGCAGATTCAACTATATTAGAGAGTTTAAATTAAGCTTCGCGTTATACGTCAAACGGCAAACATATATATATATATATATATATATATATATATATATATATATATATATATATATATATATATATATATATATATATATATATACATATATATATATATATATATGTTAGTTAATTGTGTTATTGTACACTCTGTAATATGTTAAGATGAAAATGTTCTAGAGTGTGTATTATATAATTTCCATACCCAGCGCAAGCAGAAAGATGGTGTCTTGCCGCGGCTGGGTCTTGAACCCGCGACCTTCGAATTACTAGATCAACGCTCTACCAACTGAGCTACACGGTCAGGCAGACACCATCTTTCTGCTTGCGCTGGGTATGGAAATTATATAATACACACTCTAGAACATTTTCATTTTGATATATATATATATATATATATATATATATATATATATATATATATATATATATATATATATATATATATATATATAAATATATATATATAGGAAGTCCCTCATTTTTCATCTGATGCTAGCTTTTTCAAGCCTTGCATGCGACTATTTTCTATTGTTTCCGCTCGACGGTTTGTTGATAACGATATTTTTTCCGCGATGCTTTCGCGGCAATTTCTGGCTTTTCGCCTTTTCGTAGAGTTATTGATAAATGATATTATATTCACTTTGAATATTTCCCGCGAAATTTGGCTATGTCTATCAACATGGAAAGCCATATTAATGAGACCTTACAAACTACAAAGAAAAGAAAAAATGTTGCTGAAACAGTTGAAAGTAAGAAAAGCACCACTACAAAGTGCCATTATTTTTTTGTGGTTCCTAAATCTACGAATACAGAAGCAGTGACAGCAGTTGATGCCGAAAAGAAACTGACAGATGAAGGAGATGAAGAAGTTCAGACTGAATCTCACCCATCTCAGAAAGGAAAGGAAACTATTTCAGTTTATAGCGAGAAAATTCAGTCAAGGTTGGAATGTTTGCGTCGCTACTGTAAGAGGACCATTGACCTTTGTTATGTGAACCTTTGAACTTTGTTTTGTTATTAAGATTAGGATGCGCACGCACCTATGGATAATGCACAATGAACAATCAGTGTTGCCAGATCATGAACAAAGTTCACAGTTTTGTGAACTTTTTGTCCTCGACATGCATGAACTTTTTATGAACAACAAGAGTTTGTGAACATTTCATGAACTTTTCAAAATAACATGAACTATTTCATAAACTTTGATTATTACACTCCCTCAAGATAAATGTTGTAATATAAATTACCACAATTTCGCCGTTAACGATTAATTTTTAATAAATTATATATTTATGAATATCTTATATCTCATTCTCTATATTCCGAGTCTGCTGGGTGAAATGGTCAGCGATTCTAACATGGTTGTAATTCATATAACACCATATATAGTTGCTCATCTGCAAATATAAAAGTGGTTAACACTATTTTCCATCCAGCAAACTGCCCTATCGATTTTTTGAAGTAGTTTCTTTTTGTTTCTAATTCGGTTTGGGTTACAGTTAGGGTTGAGGTTACGGTTAGGGGTTAGAGTAAGGGTAGGGTTTGTTACATAGCCATTTAACACCTCTTCCATCTTCCGAAAATGACGTCAGGTGCTGGATGGAAAATAGTGCTAACACGTCACAAAATACGCCGGATTTAACTTAATAAAGAGACAGCGATATCTAAACGATGAAATAAATGTTTAACTATCAGAACTAGATAGTCATTAGTAACTTAAATTGGCTAATTTACAGCATTATTGTGATGTTGTGTTAAAATTTGAAATTCATGAACTTTTTGTCAAATTCATGAACATTTCATACTTGTCTACATAAACATTCGCAAATTTGATCTGGCAACGCTGTGAACAATGAACAATGCACCTTGTCTTATGTAAATAGATATCGATACGCACAATTCATTCGAGAGAATTGGAACATAGCACGCACTGGGGAAACATTAAAATATATTAAGAAAGATATATACGTATTGAAGTTTTACTTGTTGTGAATCTAATCAAGCTGTCCCCCTAATGGCCTCGACGATCCCGCGGTTGCTATATAATAACAACGAATAAAGAGGTCGTTTTACACTACTCTGAGTTTAATTCACGCTTTACGCGATCATCAGGCAACAAGATAATGATGATCATGATCAAGATGATGATGATCAAGATCAAGATGATGATGATCATTACAGGCCTCAATAATATTTTTTTGTGCCTGCGAGCAGAATTTAAATATTGGAAATGTGCCTGCAAAAAGTTGTGTTTCTTTTCCGTAAGTGAGTAATTATTGCAGGTAAAATTACTGCGGTAAGTAATTACTGCACTAGCCAGTAGTAATAACAATTTAGTTATCAACAACATTTTAGTCAACTGAAATAAGAATTCCTGAACAGTTTCACTGACTAAAAAGTCACAGTCCACAGACCGTGTATATTGCACGACTGTAAGTACATCAGGTCATAAATGGTAAGTTAGGCTTTGCTGAGCTCATTCGGTCAACGACCTTCGATACAGCAAAATCCCTTATGTTCTGCGATTTTCGAACAAAATGCCAGTCTCCGGTCTTTCGTTTCCCAGAATTCTTCCAGTATTCTGTCATACTTTCTTGGATGATGCTATCGGCATGTGTCAGTTCGGGTCCATTGCAAGCAATATTCATTTCGAGAACCGCCCTTTCCTCCGATATTGGCCGCAACTTGTTATTTCGGTTTTCATAAATAGAAACCATTGACTCTATAACCGATTCTACCGACATGCTGGCAGCGGCAACACAAATAACATGCATTACCATTTCAATATCGACATACAGCTTCCTTTCGGGCTCTAAGGAAACTTTAATTAACTTGATGCTGCATAGCTCCTCTTCGTTGAGTTGCGCAACATGTCTTTCGAGTCTCCTGATAAACTCTCGAAACTGAATACGAATTCCGCTATCTGGCACATCAACAATATTAGTTGCCAATTGCTTCGAGTCTTTGGTGAACTGTTCTCCATCCAAGGCTAAGACATGTGCAGCACCCTTCTGTTTAACCTTTAAAGCTAATGATCTTAGATCAATGATTGGTCTCAAGGTTTTTAGCATTGATTTGTCGCCTTCATCATACACCTTGTTGTGAAGACATTCATACATTCTTTGTACTAGCTTTTGTAAATCCTGTTGTGCCTTGACAATGACCATACCTTGTTGCTCATCTCGGGCATTTCTTGCAGCTCTTCTTTCTCCCATCCGTGTGTTGATTTCTTCACCATATGACTGTGCCATGGGAATGCCTCGATATGAACCTAGTGTTTTGATTTCTTCTAAATCACGGTGGAGCGTTGGCCATTGACATTTAGAACCATGAGAGTTGCCTTCTTCCTGTCGTCACTGTTTCCTTCCATGTTTTCAAGCTGAACTTCCTCCAAGGTGCGTATCCAACATTTGACGGTACGTATCCAACATTTGAATGGTTAGTTTCCACCACGAAGATGATTGGAGAAGTATTTAAGGTTGTGAATTATGGTAGAGAATTCGAGCACCTCTTTTCCATAGCCAAGGAAATGAAGGAGAGCGGAGAAGCTGACATCAGTTTCAAAACACTCAAATTCTTTTCCGAGACAAGGTTTGCAAACCATGCAAGAAAGGTGTCTTGCATGGTTAGCAAACCTTGTTTCGGAAAAGAATTTGGGTGTTTTGAAACTGATGTCAGCTTCTCCGTTCTCCTTCATTTCCTTGGCTACGGAAAAGAGGTGCTCGAATTCTTTACCATAATTCACAACCTTAAATACTTCTCCAATCATCTTCGTGGTTGAAACTAACCATGCATTCAAATGTTGGATCTTTCCTTATATGGATGTCTTGTAGTCCAGCTTTGTGAAGCGGGTCCCAGTCACGGTGTTTCCTCTTGTTTCCCTCGAAACCAAAATAACAGTCCAGTTTCTCTGGGACATTGAGGTGGAAATATGCACCGTCGAATGAACCGCCAAGGTACTGTGACCTATTTATGTCGTAGATTTTGACGCACTCTGTGATACTGTTGGTCACACCAACTCCAGTGTGCTGTTTAACAACAGGGTGGCCAAGAAAAAATGCGTGTAACAACTTAGGCGAGTCAGGCACGATTGTCGTAAATGTGACAAACTGACGTGTTCGATGCTTCCAAGTCGCCTTGTCAGCTCCAATCTTTCCAGAGGGTCGAAAACCCGTTTGTTCCAAAGGATTGTCTAGAAACCTAGTCAGCCTTCGGGTAACTTCGTTCGACATGATCGGGAGAATTTTCGCAGGAAACTTGTTTGAATGGTTGATGTCCCCAATGTCTGAATCATTAACAGAGTGGAGATAAACTAGTAGATGCTCGAAATCAGAGTCTGGCCGTCCTTGCTTAAACATGTAGTAGCATATTCTACCAATTCTCTTGCCTACAACTCTTTCTCGGCGATCGCTTTTGTCCAATTCCTTTTCGTTCACTGTCCTTCTTTCCAGTGCTGTAATGTGGCTAGTAGATTTCAAGTGTGCCAGAAGATGTGTTTTTAAGTTTCGAAACTTCTTTCATAAAACTTTCTCAGGAGGTTCGATAGCACCGACAATGTTGTCATATTTGAATATTGCCAAATAGGTTTTATTAGTTGTAAGTTCAGGCAAATGTTGAGTAACTGGTACACATACAGAGCACAAGACTGCTTGCTTCCTTTCGTCGTAGCGGAATTCGTCGAACTTGCGTAGAAGATCATCTAGAGATCGGCAGCTATTCATCAAAAAGTTATCTGGCAGAACTGTTTCACGAGGTGAGGACATATATAATGCGGCACTATCATCGCCGCTATGATCCAGTGTCAGATTGGAATTACCACGCATCTCATCGAGTTTAAGTGACAGCTGATTATCCAGTTTCTCATTGATTTGTGACAATAAGTAAGGGGTTTGTGTGGCGTCAATCGCTATTGTGGCTTCAGACTCGAGGTTACTTTCTAGATCTGACGTTTTCTGGTCTTCAGAAACCTCTGGCGCCATAACTGTCATTGCCAACTCGGTGAACTCACCATGGGGATCACCAAGGTCATCACTAGATTCACCAACGTCATCAGTGCAAGTGGGCTCAATTGTTTCTTCAAAGGCTCTCTTTGCTTCGTTATTTTCTTCATCGTTTCGAGCCCTCTTTCTTCCAACTGGACCATCCACTCGATTGAAAAGGGATACAATCGAAGACTGGCATGCAGGATGCAAGTCATTTGGTTTTTCTTCTGGGTGCTGACGTTGTATGTGAACTCGATAGTTTTGAAGCAGAACCTCAGTTAGACACACTCTACATTTTACTTTATTTCGTTTTGCAAAACTCGCTCGATAATTACCAGATGGCATAACAAACTGCAAAGCGCGAACCACGGGAAACTAGTACTAGTCCTTGGAATTGTTGGAAAATATTACGACGCTTTTCAAAAACAAACGTTTTGGAAATTTTAACGGTGAGAATTTCGAACGTGCTCGCTTGATGGTGTTTAAAAATATAGTAAATACAGCAAGCTAAGCAGGTTATAAATAAGTATTGTGTAAATGCATTTGCCACGCCTCTCATTCGTTTTAGCTCGCGTCACGTCAGGACACTCATGTTTTGAAATTTTTGACTGAGAGAAATTTTCTTTATAATATTGGTGTTTTAACGTAAAAATACAAAGTATATTAATTTTTTAATTTTAAAAAGCGATTCAATAGGATAAAACGAAAATATTAGAAAGTATATTGAAAGTATTATAGTCAAAGAAGATAGTTGAAAGAAACAAATATAATATCTACCAACGAAACAATAGTCAATACTTATTTAGGGACCGGTCATTATTTAAGGCGGGGGGTGGCACCGAAAAGAAATGTTTTTCGAGGCAAAAATTTTGCCGACCCAACCATTAAAAAGTAAAAAAAATTAATTACCCAACCTCAAATATCAATTAAAAAATAAATAGCCACCCCTGGCCAAAACATTTACAAAAGGTATCATTCAGTTGTCACATATGTCCTTTACCACTTCTGTGACATAAATTTGATAACAGATTTTATAATATAGCATTTGTAAATTCTGAATGCTGATTGGCTAAGAGCCGTGTTGATATAACTATGTGCTAAATTTTTTCGGGCGTCGTGTTTCCACACAATTAATTTCTCGTTTTCCCAATTTCCACTCGTGTTGATATAAAAGACCCATAGGTCCCATACTCGACTAGCAACATAATCAAGTTAGTTATATTAATTCATTAGATAGGATCAATGTTAAAGGCAAGGTGGGCTACAAGCAATAATCATTTGTATGGTTTATAGAAGGCTAATTGCTGTGAATAAATTGAATAATGAATGTAGCACAATATTAAATAGTTGCATGATGACGTCAAAGAGACAAGTCAGACTACATTTGCAAGTTTTGCAACTCTCATCGCTTAAATTCCCCATACCTGAATACAAAATAAACAGTAAACAACAATTACATTTTACATACCCTGCATAAAATGGAGTTTTCATCCTTTCTAGAAACTCACTTCCTGAACTTTTGAGTGCAAATGTAATGTACTAATGTATTAAAAATTTTAAATTGTATATCATATTTACAGCGGTTAATACCATTAATATATTGCGGGCACAATACAAAACATGAGAATTTTAAAATGTTAAGTTTTGATTTGCAAATAAATAAATAATATTTGATGTCATAAAAAATTTTTAATTTAACTCAACACAAACTGGTAAGTTTATGACATGTATAATTTACTTATATGTTTTATATTGCAATTATGTAGTACCCTACTCCTTTGAAAATTGTTTGCAATTGCATATGATGTTGTCATGTATTATAGTTGTGTCATGAATTTAATAATACCTCAATGGCTTCGAAATAGACAATGGATGAAAAAAGTCATGAATATTTAGCTTATTTACCCTTTAAACA